TGCCAGTCATCAGATACCCTGCTGGTATAGTGAGCTGGCCAAAGGAAGACATGGAGGCTGCGGATGTGAAAACCCAGAAGCTCCTCACAATGTACAGTGGTTTCCACCCAAGTCCAACACCCAGAGACTGTACACCAGCCAGAAAGAGGGCGGGCGGGGTCTGGTGAATGTGAAAGCCACTGTCCTGGATGAAACCCAGAGCATCCAGGAGTACATCAGTAAGATGGCATCCAAAGATGAGCTGCTGAATGTCTGAGGCAGCAGCTGACATGGGAGGAAGTTCAAGCAGAGGAAGTCCCATGGCAAGACAAGATCCTGCATGGGATGTACCATTAGCAGATAGCTGAGGTAGCTAACACTGGGAAATCCTACCAGTAGCTGGAAAGGGCTGGACTAAAAGACAGCACTGAGGCACCAATCATAGCAGCGCAAGAACAGGCACTAAGCACTAGATCAGTAGAAGCAGGGGTCTACCACACTGGACAGGACCCAAGGTGCAGACTGTGCAGAGAGGCCTCAGAGACAGCCCAACACATAGTGGCAGGGTGTAAGATGCAGGCAGGAACAGCATACACTGAAAGGCAAAACCAAGTAGCTGGAATTGTGTACAAGAACATCTATGCGTAGTATATGGGCTAGACCCTCCCCAGTCCAGATGGGAGATTCCACAGAAGGTTGTGGAGAATAACAGGTCTAAGATCCTGTGAGACTTCCAAATCCAGATGGACAGGTAGGTACTAGCCAATGAACCAAACATCATGGTAGTAGACAAGGACCAAAAGACAGCGGTGGTGATAGATGTAGTGGTGCCAAGTGACAGCAACCTCAAAAAAAGGAGCATGAGAAGTTGGAGAAGTACCAGAGCCTGAAGGAAGAACTAGAGAGGATGTGGAAAGTAAAGGCCAAAGTGGTTCCAGTGGTGGTAGGAGCACTTGAGGCTGTAACTCCTAAGGTGGGAGAGTGGCTCCAACAAATCCCAGGAACATCAGAGCTCTCTGTCCAGAAGAACGCAGTGCTAGGAACAGCTAAGATACTGCACAAAACCCTCAAACCCCCGGCCTCAGATAGAAGACCCGAGATTGAGGAAGACACATATCACCCAGAGGTGAGAGGGGAATCTTTATTTATTTATTTTTACACACACACACTTATATGCTGCCTGACTCTCAACAACTCTAGGTGCCAGTAAAAGCTACTCACCCAAATTAATCTTTTTCTCTACCCAAGCAACAATGTCTTTTGCATATTTTGACCATGCTTTAGCATAGGATAGAGCAGATTTGATTCCATTATCATTTCTTAGGAGAGTGTTATCAATTTCTTCAGCATTAAGGTGCCCTGAAAGTAAAGCATCAAATGCAAAAAAGCACATTTTAGACATTAGTTGTGAACACCAAAGCAGTTGTAATCTTTTTAATGCTAGTTGACGCTAAATGGAACTGACAAAGCTTTTAGAACAAATTAAAGGTTCACAGAATTATATCTTAGCAAATCCTATAGAACTTTTGTAATGGTTTAACAGGAAAAAAATAATATAAATAGCTGAAGTTCATTCTAATAGTAGCGTAAACAATTCTTGAGATTTGAATGAGAATAATAATAATAATAATAATAATAATAATAATAATAATAATAATAATATCACAAAACAGACAAAGTAATAGAAAATGAAGAAACTAAAGTGCTCTGGGATTTTAGAATTCAAACAGAGAAGCACCTGCCACACAACACCCCAGATTTAACAATTACTGATAAGAAAGACAAATAAGTCTGAATAGTGGACACTACAATACCTGGAGACAGCAGAATAGAAGAG